GCCACACCATGCAGCACATTCCAAAAGCAGGACAGGAGTTGAGTGACTTTGGCTCCTTCACACCCCAGCCCCATATTTAAGGAACACAATTCAAATAAACCAAGAACCAAACAAGTCACCTCATGTCAGGACATTTGTCCTCACACACTGCTGAGGGCTGGGTTCCAGGGGCTACTGGCACTGCTCACACCTGGGCTGGGGTTTGTTGCTACTGCAGCACTAAAAATCTGAATATTGTGGCTGTTCTCTCCAAGCCAAGACCCAGGAAACTGTGGGGACACTGATGAACCTCAGCTCTGAAGACCTTTTACTCATCCAGTACCAACTGCAGAGGGAAAGGACATATTTGGGACTGTATCTCTACGGTACGCAAACTCCTTCCCAAAGTAACTTTGTCATGGGACACCAAAATACACACATAAAATTATCAACTGAAACCACAACAACAGCTTGGTTTCACCAACAGTGAAACTTTTCTGAGACCAGCGCTCCAGGGGTCATGGAGGCATTTACAAAGCCCATTAAATCCCACATCTCTTGGCAGAACAGAAAGAACAAGTTAAAGACCAAACTCACTTAGGCCATAAATATTCAAAGAACAGGAAGCAAATACAACTCAGCATCAATATCGTTGTAAAATCTCAATATTTTCAAGCCAACCATGATGTTTCAGTGCTTACCTCCCAGGGCAGAGCACGTGGCTTTGCAGTGCCAGCACAGGCAAAGCTGATCAGATCTACCCACAACCTCATAAAGCACTTTTAGACCCTGATAAGGCTCCCCATTGCCCATCCAGGCTGCAAAGCAATTGATTAAGAGAGAAAACTGCCTCCATACTCAGCCTTGGACCCTCCCAACACCCCAGGAATGTCAGACTATCCTGCCATCCCTTAAAGCAGACAGGACTGGAGTAGTTTGGGAGAGGAAAAAAAAGTGATACCCAAGGCTGGTTTTGTTCATGTGTGTTCACCATGGGCACAAGAGATCCCTGCAAAGACCACATCCACAGCAAGCACTGGTGGGGAAAGGAGGCAGCAAGGGCAGGGATATCCTGAAGGGCCATCCTAAGGCCACTCGTCCATATTTAACTCCTGGCAAATGCTTCTCCTCTTCCAGCCCGGAACCTGAGCGTGAGCACAGCTGACCGTGAGGAATTCGAGCACCATGCCAAGTGCCTGGGGCTGAGGGCAGAGGAGATCATTTATGCACCCTGGAAAACAGTACGTGGGTGTCCGTGGGTGGGCACGGGTCAGCAGAGCCAGCACAGCCCCCACCCCAGGCTGTACCCCCAGCTGCCCAACTGGGGTCTTGGAGAGACGTTTTTGAGGTGGTGGAAAGGATTTAGGGGACTAAATAACCACAGGGTTGCTTAAATGGAGGTTTAAAATAACATCCCCCTGCAGATAGGTGACTCCTGATAGCAAATACCTGCACCCGAGCATCTCCAGGGAAACCTGGTAACTGCCTCCCACTGCCAGGAGAGAAATAGCTACAGCATGGGATCTTTGCCCTGAAATTCCTCATTTTGCCTCGAAACTCCTGATTTTGCCCCACCAACCCCCAGCAGAGACCAGCTGCCCCCAGGAGCTGCAGCAAGGGTCAGGAGGGGCCAGTGCATCGGGGATTTTTCCTTTAGGTTTTTCCCCAAAACATTAACCAGACCCAGCCCTTGCCTCTGCCACCTTACTTAGGACATTTTATCCTGCAAATGACCCAGTGCCCAAGTCAGCTTGAAAAGTGAAGGTGAAAAATATCCTACCTTTTTCTGTTCCATCCTGCTGTTCCACCTCAGGAGGCTCTGACTTTCAGAGGTGCCCAAAACCCCACACCAGGCAGCCAGGCTGGATCCAACATTGTCCCCAACACCCATCCAGCCTCAAGATGCTTCTTTTAAAACTGTCCCCCACAGTTCAGGGGAACTGGGGACAGGGACAAAGACAGGGAGTGAAACCCTCTTGCTGTGGCAGGGCCAGGTCTCCTTTCCCATTTAGGCAACAAGCAGCACCTGGGAGGAAGAGCCCAGCTCCCCCACACTAACCACAGGCAGCTGTGGACTGGGGGTTGCAGAGGCATTTGGGTCACATTTAACTTTGGACAAGGTGAAGGAAGGTTAGAGAAAGGCAGAGAAAGGCAAAGTGAGTGTAGTAAGACAAAACTGGCTGTCCTTACAAGCTGTGGTGCAATTGGTGTTGTCAGAGAAGGGTTTTGTGCCCAGCCAAGGTAGGACACTGCATCCAAGGAGTAAAAAACTGATTAAACAAACACAGAAAATATTTTGGGGACCTTGGTCATCAGGGTGAAGGAGATGGATGTGAACAGAGCATCAGAGCAGGCTCACGTACCCCTCCTCCAGCCCCAGGCACTAATAGACCTTAACTTATAGCAAATGCCTGGGTAGCATGAGGTTTTTACTTATTTCACCAGAAGTTTGAGTCCCCCTTTCCTTCAGCACTCATTTACTGAACCCCCAGTGTAGCACAGCTTTGCCCCAGAAACTTGGTTTCTTCTTTCCAGCACACACCTGGAAAATGTCACCAGCAGCACCTGGGCAGTGTCTGTGCCTGGGGAAGCCCGGAGCTTCCTTAGCCCCTCTTAGACTTAGGATTGGCTAAAAAGGGAAAGGAAAATACTTCTTTCTTCAGTAAATTCTTTCCTGTTGGTGCCTTGGCATTTTCACTTATCCTGTTATTGTTGTTTTGACAGGAACTGTGTCAAACAAAAGAAATAGAAAAAGGCAACACCCCACACAGGGAGCCCGTGGCTGAGGGCACAGCATCACCTCCTCCAGGTACCCCCCGGCCTGGGAGTGTGGGAAACTGACCCCACTTCAAGCAATAAATGTTTTCTTCAAATTCCATGCATTTTGTTGCCGAGCTGTTGGAGAGCAGAGGGTTCTGAAGAGGTCAGAAGTGGGGCTTGTAAAAAGAAATTGGGCACCCAGTTCACCTTGTGTGTCATTCAGGTGGGAGCTGGGAAGAGTCATCCTGGAGCTTTACACCAAGCTTGGAAGAGAGCTCTGCCAAAAAGGCAGCACTGAAATGGAGCAGTAAGAGAGGCCAACCAGGAGAGGGCAATCACTAACTATGTTAAATAACATGCCAAGCCTTTGAGGAGCAAGTGGGATATACAGAAGGCTGGAAACCTCTTTGCCCGTACAGCCTGGGGAAGAGGGTACTTAAACAGAAGAAACCACCCAATTCCCTTGACAGCAGTTCGACCACCAGGTAACCCAGATGGGGCAGAAGTTCCTGCCCAAACCCTTTGGATCTGGCAAGTGCTCCCCAATAATGTCCATCCACAGCAAGGTTTGCACACGTTGACACTGACAAATAATCCTCCTGCCAGAGGGAGGAGGTGCTGGCCCAACCCAGGCTGGATTTTTACTTTTCCAGAGAAAGGGCCATGTTTTCTTATTTCCCAGTAAGCTCAGCACCGTGGAGGTGGGAAGGTACAAGTGCCAAGGTTGAAATTGCTCTCTGTGCCTCTGGTACACCCCTGCACTTGTCAGGCACCTCACTCATCCCTTATCCCACCCCCAGCCCCAAAGGGAGGACAGCACTGTCACTGCATTTGTGTAAGTGGAGGAGTTTAACAAGAGACTGCTGTTGCTGCGTGTCTGGAGAGTAGTTCAGTCTCTGCTCTAACCTAGTAATTAAGCACTGAAAATATCTCTCTTCCTTAAAAAGGAAGAAAATGAGCAAAGCTGGAGGGAAGGCAGCAGTGGGCCCCACTCCTCCCACTGCAGCTCCAGGGTGCCCTGTCCCTGTCCAGCCTTTACTGGGCAGTGTTTCAGTGTCGAGCCTTTGGACAGATTCCTGTAGCAAAAATGAATTTTACAAGATCACAGAATCATTAAGGTTGGGAAAGACCTCCAAGATCATTGAGTCCAACCTGTGCCCAATCCCCACCTTGTCACCCAGCCCAGAGCACTTAGTGTCACATCCAGTCCTTCCTTGGACACCTCCAGGGATGGGGACTCCACCACCTTCCTGGGCAGCCCCTTCCAATGCCTGACCAACCTTTCTGTGAAGAAATTCCTCCTGATGTCCAACGTGAACCTCCCCTGGCACAGTCTGAGGCAGTTTCCTCTTGTCCTGTCACTTGTTACCTGGGAGAAGAGGCCAAACCCCACCTGGCTTCACCCTCGTCAGGGAGTTGTAGAGCGAGAAGGTGCCCCCTGAGACTCTTCTTCTCCATGCTAAGAAATAAATCCAGCTGATTCCCTCCTGGTCTCAGAGCACAGGTATCCAGCCAGCCCTTGCTTCAGACACCTTTTTATCACCTTGTGACATGAAACATAACCCCCCATCCCAGTCTGGGGTAGGAGAAGGCAGGGGTGCTGAGGGGATGCTGGGAGCAGCCTTGAGCGCTGCGGTCCAAGAGTGCATCGATAACAGTCTCAGCTGAGTGAAGCTGACACTGCTGGAGAGCTCAGATTACAAGGACCCAGACTTTATGAGCGGATTTATAGCTGAATAAAAGCCTTGAATTACAGTCAGAGACGTAAGGAACCAACAAATCCAGTCTGGCCCCCGCAGCAAGTTTTGTTAACCAAATCAGAGGCCACCTGCACTACCAGCTATGGCTCCTGAATGACCTTCAGGGTTAGCTCCTGGTTGGGTTGTTATTTAAGAAAAAAATTGTACAAGGCCTTTATTTTGAGAACCCTGTAAACCAGGTTCTTCCAAGGGGATAATTGGACTGCAGAGCTTTCAATTTTTCTGGGAAATTTCTCTGAACAGAGTGTTATGGATACTGCAGAGATGAGCAAAGTCCAGCAACACTCAGAGACAGGTAAACAGTGTCTGAACATCCCTGACTCATCACCACCAGCATTAGCCTTGGTCTTGCTGTCTTTGCATTTAAGAATTCCGTCCTCCCAGGTCCTCAAAGGGAGAATCCTTCCCAGTGTTGGTGACCTTGGTGAGAATTATCCCAGGAAAAGTCTGGCCACAAACAACATCACTAAACCATATCAGGAAAGAGATGCAGACACACAGTTTCTCTTTAACAGACCTTTATTAGCAGACTGTTCCCTACATGAAGAATCCGAGTTAGATTTGCATTATAACAATTTGTGGTTACAGCTACAAAGATGGTTGTCATTTTGCATTGATTTTTGCATTCTGATATTCATATTCTCATTAGGCCACACTGGTAGGAAGGAGCCACTGCAGAATTTATGACAGGTCTCAGGAAGAGGGGGGTGGAAAAAAATCATCACTAATCCAGATTGGTTAGATTTCCAAGTGGCTGCTATTGACAGCACTGAGAGTTAAGGCAGAGCCTCACCTAGGAGACTCTCCATGAACCACCAAAATCTGTCCAAAAAAAAGCAGCTGCTGAGTGCTAGCAAATCCTTCTCCAGTTTCTCATACACATCTCCACAGTGTCCTCCTGCATGTGGTGAGCACTCACTCAGCAGCAGGGTCTTCTGATTCAGCCTCAAAGCACTGATTCAGCTCATGTCCAAGTGCAAGTTTCCTTCCACCTCTCTGGAAATGTGTACTGTCTTTAGTCCCTGAGATTTCTCTCCTCCCCCCTCACCTAAAAATTCCCCAAATTGCTCTTAATTAGCTGTTGTGACATCCAACATACACAGACCTTCTACTTCCCAACTTCAACCATCCACCCAAAGCCTTTCAGCCACGCACAGAGGCAATTCCAAACTAAGGCAAGCCTCACAGTGCACCCTCTCCCCAGGCTTCTGCTTCCTCACCTGCTCCCTTCTCTCCTATGGCTTCTTGCTACAGAATTTCTCTGGGCTGAGGTCCTCCAGCAACAACCCCAGATGTGGGAAAGGCAGCTCAAGCCCCACAGGGAAGGTACACGAGTGACTTTAGCGTCCCTCCCCACGACTCAGCTGTGTGATGTGAGAGAACTAATAGAGAACTTTTTAAAACAGGAGAAATATAAGCACAGTAACAATATTTAAACAAGTCTATAAAAATAGTCTGACATAACTCTGTTCAAATAAATACAAAATAAATATGCTTTAAGCAGTAAAACAGTGGAATGCAACGCTGGTCCATTTTGCCCAAAATGAAAAGTTGAATGAGGATCTTCCAGGCCTCAGAAGTCGGATCCTATTAACTAAAGCAGCCCATAATGCAATCAGAGAAATTTTAAAGCCATCTCTTTCCCTTAGCCTTATGAAAAGCACCCTTTGAAAGACGAGCAAGCATGTCTTCAGGACTGAAAGCCCACCTCTCCCAGTGACAACCAGCCCCTCTCCCTAACACCCCTTCCCACAGCGGACATTCCTGACTTGGGGCACCCATGGAAACCTGAACATCCATCTACCAAGAGGTCTAAAGAGAGAAATAGCAGCGTAGGCACGGGGTTTGGAAAAGGCCCAACAGCTCTCCTTGGCACCAGGCAGAATGGAATCGAGAGGTCCATGCAACGCTGCACAGGGGCTCTCACGTCGTGCTGGGAGCACAACTGCACAGGAGCTGTGAAATATTGTGTTTGTTCACTAAAGCCATGCATCACGGTGCCGGTCAGCCCAGGGCTCTCCTGTCTTCCCCTTCCCAAGCCCCTGCTGAGTATAAGACAAGCCAATCCCGGCATGCAAAGGATACAGGCATGCAGGCTCTAGTCTGCTGCTTCTTGTTAGTAAGTGCATCTTGTTAGTGGGTTTATGAGACACACTTAAACCTATAAAAAATAAATAATTCTAATTCTTCATCAGGCTGGCTTAAGCAACCTTCAGCCTGACTGGATAAACCACTGCCCACCAGCCCTCCAAACCAGTATAGATCAAAATTACATTTCATGTCAAGTCTTGGAAGCAGAACATGAATGTCTCCTACCCAAAGGAATATTTGTAAACATTATAACAAGCCCGGTGTGGCAGCAGCTCCTACACAAGGTTTGTACAAATTTAAACAATGGGTAGGAAGTTAAACAACTGAATGGAAAAAGCAGCTGTCTGAATGGAAAAAGAAGCTCTTTCAGCAAGTCAGAAGGTGCTCATCTGTAGGCAAACAGCTCTGTACAGGCAACAGGCTGAGGGCAGACCTGTAACCCAGATCTTTGCTACTCTGTCATACTGCTGGGAACTGACCTCAGCAACTCCTGCCCTAAGATTCTCTCAGGAGTTCACCTCCTGGTCTCCCAAAGGCCCAACAAAAAGGACCACGTGATGGTTTATGTGGAGCTCTGAGTAGCAAGATGGCAAAGGACACCAGATCCTCCCCTCCCCCTTACTGACTCACAAACAATCTGGGATTTCACAGCTTTGCTTAGTCAGCTTAGTGTCGACACATTCACAGAATGAGAGATGGCTTATACGTCTTGGGATTGCATCCCAAGATTTCAGAGTTCAAAGTCCTCAGCATCTCCTGGTCACCGTGAATCCACGCCCAGAGTCATCTTCAAGTTCTCATACACCACATAGCTGATGCTCACAGCTGGGATCACCTTCATAAAGTTCGGCGCCAGACCCCGGTAAAGCCCAAACGCTCCCTCTGTCTTCAGGATGTGTTTGAACAGTCCCCTCATTGTCACCTCGGGAGCACCCTCCACTGAAGCTGCAACAGGGAAAAACACGATAAATAATGCAGCCTAGGTGGTGAAAACATGTTAAGAGCAGTTCTGGGTCACACGCTTCCAGATGTTCGCAGAGCAAAGGTGCTTTGTGGGGGACAACATTAACTTCTCAGCACACCATGGCCATGCTTGCACATCACCACTATTTTCTCAAACTGCTGTACAGACACCCTTAGCCAAAACTCCTGATCTAAGCAAAACAGAACCTCTGTCCTGGAAGTCCTTGGCCCCAGTTGTTGAAGGGCAGCACAAAGTCCACTTGCAGCATCACAAACAGCCCACGGCTCAGCTGCACGGGCCCAGCTGAGGCTGTTGTCACAATATTTACACTACAGAACCTTTACCCTGCTCAGAAACCATGCCAGGAGTTCCCACTGCTCCCAGTAAGTTCTCACCTTGGGCCTGCATGCGTGTCCTCACGAGAGCCAGTGGGTAACTGGCAAGCTGTCCACAGGTACTGGAGATGGTGCCACAGGCCAGCAGGACGAAGACCCCGGGGTCGGCACTGTTGACGGCATAGCGTTGCAACCAGGTATTCTTTAGTGTCTGGAAGGAACAAGCCCAAAGTTAGCAGTGAAGAAACAATCAAAAGAATATCACATCTCATAAAAGATCCAGCTTAAAGGCCCAGGAAGCTACGTGCAAGCTCAGCCAGAAGCACAGGGCTTCTCAAATCTTTTTAGGCTTCTGCTACTGTAGCGCCCCTGGGAAAATCTCTTTTTTAGTTTCCTGCTGCAATTTTCTCATGAAAAGAAACAAGTGACCATGCACGATGCTGACTATGGTTTATGAAGTAGAATCATTGTATTGGATTATCTTTTAGGCCATTTGGGGTAAAAAAAAAATCCATTTGTGCCCCGTAAGGCTGATCAGGAAAGCTTTGATAAATTAATTAAAGTCCTGTAGTGACTGAAGGTGTGACAGTGATAAAGCCACACAAGCAGCACAGCTCTATAACAATAATACATAATGTAACATAATATAATAATTTTTAGTTTGAAGGGTTCATACCTCATAGACTGCCAGGTCAATACCAGCATATGGAATGATTCCCAGCATGTTGGGGATGTAGCCTTTGTAGAAGGCAGACATTCCTTCCTTTGTAAGGATGTTTTTGGCACAGTCCAACATGCCCGAATATTGTCCTGTCTTCCTTAGAGCCATCCGTGTTTTCAGAACCTGGGAAACAAGAATAAATACTAAGAATAAATACAAGAATAAAGGCCTAAAGGACAATCAGCAGGAGACAAACGTACAGACAATGTCATTAAGAGCATAGACAGCCAGGACAACAGCAGTGTCCTGACAGCAGTACTTGATATCACCTCCAAGAACCCATCAATTATTACAGTGCTGGTGTTCTACCCACATTTTCCCATCCCTGCCCTTGCCACGAGCCCCCCTGGGCTGGGCTATCCTTCCTCACCTCCATGGGGTAGATGCTGCTCTGTGCAATGGCCCCAGCCAGAGAACCAGCCAAGAGCCGCTCGTGGATCCTCAGCATCTCCTGGTCAGTACCAATGAACCGCTTGATCTGCAGAAGCCAGAACAGACAGACATTGAGGCTCCATGACCCATCTCAATCACCTCCTTCTTCTAAGACTGTCCTTCTGCACACCCTTCTGCAGCCAGACTTGTCTGTGCCCTTGTGCCCTTTCACTCACCTGCTCATAGGCCATGAACTTGATGGCCGATTCGGGTGCGATCTTGAGCACGTTGATGCCGTTCCCTCGCCACAGTGACCTGGGACCACCCTCCCGGATCATCTGAGTGAACCCGCCGATGATGCACATGTTGTTACTGCGGGAGGCATGGACCTGGGAGGGAGAAGCAAGCCTGGATTAGTTCCAGTCCCGATTACGACAGCCCTACGTTTTTCCGTAATCCAGGGACAAAAGGGCGCTTTTTTATTTATCCAGAGATTTGCCAAGGCTTTAATCCCTCCCAGATAACTACTACAATGGGAAAGCAAGATTCTTTTCTTTTTTGCCAAGTCTAGCGTTAACTAATGAATCTAATCAATATCTCCCCTCTGGAATGGGAGGAAAGGTTAAATAGGCTGTTTTTTTCCCATACCTAACTTAAGATCAACTACCCATCAACTTCTCAGCTGGTTCACGAGCAGGTGCAGTGACAAAGCAGGCTAAAATCAAGATCTTCTAACTCTTTTCTAATACTGAGTACAAGCTCTGCCAACTCAACACCACATCCACTTCAACTCTCATGGCCTCAGGGGCCTCTCAAGTGAACACAGGACTTGAACTTGTTTCACCAAACCCCAGCTTTTCCACAAAGCTGTCTAACTACTGACAGTTTTCACATGTCTACCTCTCAAAAGATTCTCTGTATTTTTTTTAGTCAATGAAGAATAACTTTTTAACATGGCTTCAATCCCTCAAACAATCCAAAACGCTTTCAAAAATGGCAGTATAAGAGCTTAACCTTGGCCACAGTGCTGTACTGTGCTGATGAACATTATCATCTCCTAGGCATCCATGAATATTAAAGGAATCTGCTGAGGTGTTCAAACAAAGTGGAACTGCTCCATCATACCTGCATGAGCACTTTCAAGCGGTCCAAGGGAGCTGTACAGGTTCTGGACACGGCACCTGCACCTCCACCTGCAACCAGATGTCTCCACCACATCCCTGTCTGCCTCTCTTCCACTGTGAACTCATCAGGGACAGTCAAGTTCTCTCCTACATCAAAGATCTGCAAAAGTAGAAGGTGTTGAGAAATGCTTCATTGGCCAGTGATTTTGCTAAAGTTTTACTGCTCTTTGTCAGTGTAAAGTGTTGAAGTTCTGAATATGCTTATTCCAAGCCAGCAGCTTATCTACAGCCGTTAACTGCTGTGTCTGGCCACAGGAGCTGCCACTGCTACACAACATGTCACAGGAGGAAGATTTCTGTCCAAGAACCTGGCAACTGCTGAACATTTGTCTGCATCAAAATACCATGGATCGTGGTTAGGAACAAACCGACCAGCTGCAGGCAGCTGCACGGCAAAAAGGCTGGACCTTTCTGGAATCTTCCAAGCTCACAGCCAGTTAAACCTCATTACCTACTATTCACACACAGAAATATCTCCAGGAAGGATGGCTGCCTGTGGAATCAGTTTCTAGTTTTAACAGGTCCTGAACCAGTCAGGGCTGGCCAGTGGCAGGAGCTCTCAGAGCTGCCAAGAGAACACCCTCACCTCCCTGAAGAACATGCAGTTATCACTTGTGCCTCCAGCTGTGCCAGTGATGGGTGGCAAGATCACAGGACAGGAAGCAATTTAGCTTCCAGGGCAGCTATGAACCATGAAGAGAAAGATAGGGACTGTGATAGCTCCTGGGGAACAAGAAGTTGGGCAAAGACCAAGACTTGCTGCAGAGGAACTATTTCTTACCGTGGAGTGCTTCCAGTACAGGATGATTTCAGGAATGTTCTCCACTGGGTGCAGCAGGTGATAGTCTCGCCACTCATTCCAATCAATTGTCATTGTCCCATTTTTATCCATGCTAAAAAGATTTATCATCAGATGAGTACAGGCTCCCACTGGGTGACAAATTCCTCCTCCCCTTCCCTTTGGTTATTCAGGCTTACACCAAAAAAAGCTTTGCAAAGCAACTACTAAAAGACTTCTAAAGAGACACAAGACAAGGCTAGAAAATCTTCTATTCACCAGACACAGAGGGCTCTCTTTCCTCCCCTCTCTCTCCCTTCTAACCAGCCCACAGCAGTAGTTGGACCCCCTCTTATCAAAGTTAGAGACATAACTAACACTAAAGGGAAAATTATACTTACTAGGTGACAGGACCCCAGAAGTGTCCCGTCCTTATTCTGACACACAGGCAAACAGACAGAGGGAAGGTAGCAGAGGAAAAAAAGAGGAAAAAACAGCACAAATAAGTGGTTGTTAACATGTTAGTGCCACATGCATAAAGCACTCGGCATTTCCAAAGAGCAACTGCACGGTCCCTCTCCAAAGCAGCAAGCTCAGGGCAGCAGGACAATCAGACAGGGATGCAAATAGCTCAGATACAAGCACTTCCCCTCAACAGGTCAGGGAGAGACTCTGACAGTAACTCTCCATAAAGCATTATGACTTTATTATGTCAATTCATGGGGGAAAATCAAAATTAAAAGTAATAGGAAAAAAGGGAGGAGCTGAAGTAATTGGAAAGTGTGTACAGGGTAAAAAGAGATAGGTGTTCCACGTCCCTACATTTCTTTCTAACCCCCTCAACGTAAAACAGAAAAACCAATGGAATCTTCACCTCTTGAGTATTTTCTCAGCCTGCTGTTCAGAGATCTTGACTCCCAGGTCCCGCAGGGACTGTACAATCTCCTGGGCGTCGATGCGGCCTGCAAAGGTCAGCCAGTGAGCTCAGGTACATGTATGACAAGCTAACACAGGCACTTAGTCCATTCATGAGCATACTTACCATCATTCTTTTTATCCAAACTCTTGAAGACCAGTCTCAGCTTCTTTTCGTGGTCTTGGAGATAGTGAACAAATTCCTCAAAATCCAGCTGTCCATCCAGGTCCTTGTCTCCAGCCTTCACAATTTTCTGTTCAGAAAACAGTAAAAACCTGTCAGTCCCTTTGTTCATTCAGACAGGTCAGCCCTTTCTTCTACCATATTTAAAGATCTTTTCCTACATGACTTTGACTTTTCCTCCAGAAAGTCAACGACAGAATTATAATTCCTCAAAGAAATTTGAGCAAAGCAGTAGCGTAGAAAAGTCACCTGATTCCAACTGTCTTCCAAAGTTCACTATGCAGGCAGAATGCCTCATGCTTTTATCAGGGACATTCTGTTAGTGTAATGTGTCTGATCTCAGGACTGTATCTTAACACCTCACAAAGCCCTTGTGAAGGTTCTTGAACTAAGTATGAGGCAACAGATTTGCATTAAAAGTGAATCACAGAACTCGAGGTAATAAAAAAAAACTGAACAGAAGGAATTTCTTGCCTGCTACGATCCTTAGAGAAGTAAGCTCCCTCTGGCAATAACTAATTCCAACCAGCAAAAGCCTGTCCAGGTCTAGTGAACACAGTCAAAGATAAAAACCCCTGTGAACTGGTTTAGGCACCCTGAAGCTATTTGCTTTAATTACACAAGTTTCCATGAGATGCATATAGAGCAAGAAAAGGTTCTTAGTAGGACAAAACTAAAATCAAGATCAAACTGTGCCAGACATCTAGGACAAGGTAAATGACTAATTAACTCACTGCAGCATGAGGCAATAGCCCATGGACTGCCCTATGTAAGGGTATATGGCTGCATGACAGGAGAGGTGATCTCCAGACTGCAAGAATGTGGCTCAGGGAGTTCCTATTTCCCTTCTTGTTCAGTCACTTGCCTTTGACAGCTTTTAAGTCTTTTTCAACATCAATCAGTGAGCAACACTAAATGAAGTATGATTCAATCCACTGCATCACCCAAAGTTTTGTTTCAATGCTTGTAACATTTATGTTAACAGCAAATGGGTTGTCAAGGAAGCTCTGAGCTGAGATCAAACACTGAGTTATCCCTCCATTCATCAATATTTTGTTCAATATTCAGGCTTCAACAGTAATAGGCAAACCTAAGCTTACTGTGATATCTCCTCACTCTATGACCACCAGTCCCCTTCACAAGCCTTAAGTCTTTGTTTCAATGCCATTTTAAATTACTTCAGTACTAAATAATTTGCTATTAAAACTCTCTCACCCACTAAGTCCTGTCTCTTTAGCCTTAATGCTATGAGGATTATTCCTAATCACTTTCTGAACCTTAAATAAGAAAGTGCTGTCCCAGCTGCCCTGACCCCCGAGGTATGCCCAGTATTCCCAACATGCCATTTATCATATGACTGTTGTAAAGTTCAGATACGACCTCACATTCAACTTCTGGGCTAAATATAGACCAACACCCCTCGTCTGTCAGCACACTGGGCTTGAACAGCTGAATCAGGGCTTCCCCTCTCACTGGCAACCCCCAACCAGTTGACAGGCATTAATAATTTGGAGGCTCTGTAAGAGAGATGTGACTGTGCAACTGCTCCTGCTCTCTCAGCACACCCTAACAACCGCAGAGAGGTGCCACGAGTGATCAGAGACCACAGGCAATAAAAGCTTTGCTCTGCTCACCTTCCTCCCCCACAATCACAGAGCAAAAACACCGCAGGCCTGACCGACAGCAACCCACAACACACGTGTGAGGGGGGTGGGAAAGCCAAGCATCTTCTCCAGAGATGTGAACAAATATCTGCCTGCAGCTCTTCGCCCTTAACAGCAAATATGAAATCTGGTCACTGACAGCTATTTTGGCCACAGAAGTTCCTGTGGTCACCTGCACAGCCACAGCCCCTGCAGTGCTGTGGGACCTCACACACTTCCCAGCTTGCAGCATCCCATTTATGTCTCTGCACAAAGGTATAAAAAGCCTCCCCAGCTTTGCTGATCAATAATCAGCTCTCTGGGCTGACAGCCTGGTCATGAAAAAGAAGTAGCGACAAGATGGATTTAGTGCATCTCCCTTCCGAAGCAAAAGGTTCTTGCACAACCTCCCCCAGCTCAGCCCACCCACCTCTGGCTGAGTCACTCACACAGACCCGCTCTCCTGCTCACAGCACAAACCTGCTCTCCTGCACCAGCTTGAGCTGACACTACATTACACACCTCCTGTCAGAAGGGAGGCAGGATGCAAGAAGAAGGAAAAGGAAGAGGATGTGGAAACGTATCTGAGCAGACCAGTTGAAGCAGCAGACTGTAATTTGGAAAACCCCTTTCTCTATTTAACTCACATCAAATCAGCTGGTTTAAAGTCTTGGAGGCACCGAGATCTCACCCAATTCAGAACAAAAGAATGAGAAAGAAAAAAGTCCACTCTCCACTGCTTCAGCAATCCCTGCCAAGGAGCATGAGAAGTGTGTCCATGCTGTACTCAGTTATTACAACAGAGCCATCACAGACTTCTCCCCCTTCCAATCAGCCACTCGGGGTGTAGAGACCACCCTTCCATCACTCCCTCCCTCCCATTCCTCCCTCGGGGCCATACCTGCTTCCACTGGCGGTAGGTGGAGAACTCCTGGGAAGGAATGAAGAGGCTGAGGCGGAAGATGGATTTGAGTTCGGCCGGCAGCCCCTTCGACTCAAAGTATTCAAACTCCGTCTCCCCGAGCACCGGCACGTACAGACAGAGGCAGAGCATCTTTCTGAGCCCCAGACTCAGCTGCCCTGCTCAGACCCACCGGGAAGGAAGGGAAGTAAAACTGAATGATTCCCCTCAGCTAATTTCAGTGCGTAGTGGAAAGGAAATACCAGCAAGTCTCATGACACATGCCTATGAGCGAGGCTGGCTCCGGCGGGATTGGCTGCACAAGCCCTGCCCTTCTACTTAAAAGGGAAGCCGGGGCTGTACAGTCCCACCCATCTGACACAGAGCAGCCACGTGAGGTGCTCCCATTGCTCAACACCTGACTCCCATTAACACAGAACCCTTACATCACACTCACCACCAGTTAACTCTTACTGGGTGTCCCTCTTAGCTCAAGAGGCTTTGGCCAAGGGCCAGGACATTCACTTGCTGTTCCTTACATCCCCATCAGTCTTTCCTGATCCTGTTCTCGCCTCTGTGGGGATTTACACAGGCAGCACAGTAAGGATCAGTCTTGATCATAACCTTTCCCACCATGCAACACAGGAGAACTCTCATTGTCTTCCAGAAAGTTCTTCTAAAACACAGTAACACCAGGATGCCAGCCACTTACTGCCTTCATACACGTTTAGGATATCCAGCTTAAGCAACAGTCTTGAAATTCCACTTTTACAAGGTTACTTTGCTGTACCAGAGTTGATTGGCTTTGTTGCAAGTTCTCCTAAAACGACTTGTGTCAGCTAGGAACAGGCAACCCCTGCACATCAAGATCTCTCCCCTCTGCAGCACTCCAGTGTTACTAACACAGCAGCAATAAAGCCTGTGGAGGTTTGTCATTGTGCCAAATACACAGAAAATCACCCAAATCAAGGGCGGGCTTCAAAACAGCCCCAGCTGTTTCTAAGCCTCCTAGCTAAGCATCCACACAGCAGTTACACCAGCTTAATATTTTCCCTCCTCTTCCGACCACAATTAAACATTGCAGTCAGATCTGTGCTAAGAGAAGTGGCACGGGCAGAACAACATTTTCCAGCTTCTACCCTTGACAATTTAACTGCTTTGCAAGCGAGTTCCTGAGGTCTCATTAGGAGCAAGCCAGGCTGGAGGGAGCGTGGCACAAGCACCATTTAATGCAGATATAATTACAGGTTTCTGAGCATTTAGTGGAGTTTGATGTACGGGATAATACCAAGCTCACCAGAGAGAGTACCAGAGTGCAAGAACGCCACTCGGGACAGAATTATTGATTGCTAATGTGAATTGTAAAATAAAGTTATAGTCTTGATATTTATCAGAGAGAAGCTATCACACAAAGAAGATGCAGGAAGCCATAGCCCATAACCCAAACTCTAATCCTGTCTGCACCAGAAGTAACACTGTGTTTGCTGAACTGGTTCAAGCCAGCCCAGATAACAGCTTTCGCCACCACTGCGGACACAACAACATTTTCTGGTGTTTGCTGTGTTCAAACAGCCTGCTTGGCAGAGCAAAGTCCAACCAGCACTCCCCTCCTCAGGCCCTCATGCACAGGGGGCTCTTACGTCTTTGCCGTGGTATTTTGTTCTTTAAAGCAAAGCCAAGGTCTGTAATGAGTTGTTTGTGGAGCTGCATGTCAATCACACAAACTGGGAATATTTAATCTGGGGCTTTATGTCAAGGATTTTTTTTTTTTTAAAGCTTAATGGATCATGACCCACAGGGACTCAGTACCCTTGAGAGTTGTGGCCTACAGTCTCCTCTGCCCTCCCTTGGGCACCTCACCAACCATGGCACCGCTGCCACGTTACCTAACCGGGCTTAACCTACTCCCTGCTGACGTCTCTCCACACGAAAACAAGATCTTCTCAGGGATTCCAGATCCTCTTAAAGATCAGCTGCAGCAGCTCACTGCATGCATGCCAACAGCACACCCCAGCCTTCCCACCACTCTCACTGCAAGCAGCGCCCCAGTGCTACATCCCCCCCACTGAGCAGCACCAAACACCTTCAGCAGCCTGACCGAGGCGAGCAGAGCAGCTCCCCCCCAGCAACAGGTACTAAGTGAACAAATCTAACTCAGATTTGCTCCACAAAGCCTCAAGATCCTCAGCAGTCCTTCCCACGAGTTGCCAAGCATCACTATTATAGCTGCTTGGCAGCTCAGTTGCTATGCCAACATGATGCAGATTTTCCTAAGGAACTCTGTTTGGAGTTGGCAGCTAGAGACAAAAGGCAAAAATCGGCACATTTTAGGAAAAAAAGCCCTACTACCTACGTCATAGGAAAGGAGAAAGCTAATGAGGTTAAAGCTGATTTTAAGCAGGGTATTAATTACAGGACAGCAAGCTAAGAAGGAGAGACAGATTACGAATGAAGTTTATACCAGCAATTCAGGTTATAATGACAAAGGGAGCTTAAACAAGCATTAAGAAGTTTTTAGATTTCACCTAAAAAAATCCTGGTAAAGCTGGAAGTACTCAAAAGCCAGGCAGCTCTCCAAGGCTGCAGGGATCAGCACTTCTGGGACATTAGCATGGGGTCACTGCCCAAGTCTCAGCACACACAGAGCTAGTCCTGCTCTCCCAGCCCCTGTGGGCAGCACACCCAGCCCAGGGCTTCAGGCATGAGCTACGGATAGTACATCCCTCATTAGCACTGTCTATTCCTGATCAAACCAAGGACAGGGCACAGAGCACCAAATAAGGTCACTCCTCCCTGATACTTCTACCAGACACCAATTCTGCCAATGAAGCCATTTTTGGGTGATGTAGAGCCAGTCTGGCCGATATCCTCTGCTAAAGGGAGCAGTATCTGGGTTTGTCTACCTTCACAGCTCACTGTTCTTGTCATCAAGGAAGCTGCCAACTCATTTTCATTTTATTTATAGGATTTGGTTCTTCTTTAAACCTCACGAGTTACCAGTTTCCATACCCTGCCATTCCAACACTAACCTTTCCAAGTCATTTCTACTCTTCTAGGCATCTGCTTCATCACTGATTTACTACATCAGCTCCAGAACGTACCTCCCAAAGGATGGAAAGATGCAGCCATACAAGGAGCAGCAAAGTATGCTGTTTAATTTTGAATTTACTTTGCTAAAAAAAAAGTCTCTAAAAATATCAAGTGCCAGCGAGCGTCACAGTCACATAACATCCTCCTTCAGAGGCAAAACAGTTCCTGGGCCCCAGCCCTATTGCTCGAAGGTTTCACTGGGTTCTGCTGACTTGGTTTCCTCTAATTTCTAGAAACTAGCTTATAATTAATTGGACGGTACAGAAAGTCCTCAAAAACACAGAGAGTATGAAGGAGGGGAGTTAATAATTTAAGAGACCCCAGGAGAGTAAAGAGGTGCAGCCAGCCAAAGCTTTGCAAGGGAAAGGACAGAGACCAGGGACGGCAGACAACACTACGCAGTCTTTGACACAAAGGTAACCAGGACAGGTGACCTGTTCCACTGACAACACGCAGATCCAAAGTTACAAGTCCAGATAGTGACATCAGGGGCAGATTATACGTCTCTCCTGTGTACACACATCCGGGGCAAACACAACACATCGGCAATCAGTATTTTCTTCCACGTTTGCAGAAACAGCCTCATGTTGAAATCGTTACCTTCAGGTAAGGTTCTCTGAGGAGAAACACACCAATGACAAGTGGAGATTGAAGAGCCAAGGCCAGGAAGCCCCTCCTCTCAAGTTTATTGATACATGGCAATTCCTTAACATCAGTATCAGGTGTCATATTTTTTGTGGTTTTAGCAAATAGGTAGTTACAGGTGTTTTTACAAAACAAAGTGGCCTACCAGTCAAGAGACTGCTCCCAAGGTCACAGCCAGCCAGTTGCTTTATTATCTCTCCCTAAGGCTGTATGAGACTTTTCCCAACACTTCTCCTTCAGACAGGTAATTAGAACACTGATATCTGATCAAGCACAAACAAGTCATTGCAGCTTAACAAGTTGCTGTCCATCAGCAGAGCCACAGTGGCTGGATGCAGCATTAGCTGGCCTGAACTGCAAGGTAAAACATATCTGCATAATCCTCAACAGAAGAGCTTTACGCTGTGTTTTACTTGACAATCAGGGCAGGCTAAAATTACACAGTTACAACCTCCTGGCAGATGGGCAGTTACTTCCTAAGATGCAACAACTCCATTTTACCACATCTTTACCCACTAGGTATTTCTCCATTAGCCAATTGTAGGGTTCCTATGCAGTAAAACTTCCCAGGGTCACACAGGAAAGAGGAGATTGGTATCAGCTTTCAGAGAAAGCTTAATTTCTAGGTGTGAACAGATGGACTCTCCCTGACTGAGGGACTATTATTCCCTAGAAGACACCAGAAATTTTCAGCCCTACACTTGCAAGGCTTTCATCACAAGCTACTTCAGTTCAGAGCCTCTGTCCTTCTTCAACCTCTGTGCACCAAAGTCCTCCTCTTCTCAGGACGCGCATGCTCCTTTTTTGGAAGGAGATGCACACTGCTAACTGCTAAGGATAGACATGAAGGCAAAAGTCCCTGCAGATTTTTCAGTCTGATTCAAGCAGGGAGTGGCTTCTGCTCCCCGGAATGAGAAATGCCGTCCTGTTTCCATTCAAAACAGCAGCAGAATAGATATTAAGCTCCTCTACTTAAACCTGTACGTCCCCCATTTTAAAAAGAAACCTTGCAGCAACAACCACACCTGATTCCCTGTCAAATAAGCTGGATCCTGAAAGTCACACACCCTTGCAGCCCTTCAGCATCATCCCCAGCTCCCACCTCTAGCAGGGGCTATGCCCAAGTCGTTCTCCCCTAATCCCAGGTCACACCCTTGTTCTTAAACCACATGTAGTCAGAGCTGACTGCACCATCCTCAGGGGAGACGGACAGCATTCCCTCCCCATCATAACACACCAGAACCGCAGTCGGCCAGCACTGTGCTGGAAGCCCCAGCACTAAACTAAGCAGCTTTTGTTCACCTCCCCCCAGACAAAGCCTCACCATTTATTCTTTGCCAACTGTGCGCCCCCACCTCCTCCCTGCTCTCCCATCCCCTGGGAACTTCCCATCCTCACGCAGATTTTAGTCTCTCCCTTGTGCCACCCGCTCCCCAGAGACAGGCTTTACTCTCTTCCGGGCTGTGCCATTCAAATAATACAGCCAGTTACTCATTTGCCCAGAACATGCAAGTTTTACCAGAGGCTTGCCAAATTACCAGAGACTGACTCAGGAACATTTTAGGATCTATCCGATCCGTTGCTGGTCTCCAGTGCAGGGGTGGGACTCACCACTAACCTGCATTATCATTCCCTGCCCTCTCAGTCATGTTGCTAAGGAACCCTGGAGACCCCACACACTCCTTCTCGCCCCTAAACAGCATTTTTTGCCCACTTAGAACATCATGTTTGGAAGGTTAGATCACCTCCTCTCTTCGGTCATTCCCCTGCCCCCCCTTCCTTTCTAACAGGCACACCCTTTTTCCTGTCCCTCTCCCCCCTCCCCAAATTCACACACACACACTCCAATTGCAACAGCCCTTCTCCCACAGACCACACACTCGGCTGTCATGTGCACCAACCCCTCCTCAGGCCCCTGGATGTCCCATTACCTTTGGAAAATGCTCTGCGGGTCCAACCACCAGTAGGATAGTTGGTCTCCTTTCAGTGGGATCAGTCCCTCTGTCCTGTGTCTTCCCCAACATCTTTGGCCCTTTCTCCCCGGGGCCTGGAAGTGGGGTGGTGTTTCTGGCCTCATCCTCTTTTTCATCTGCAGGACCTTGGCATATGGCCCTGGGAAGGAAGCTAGACAGAAAATGCCACAGGGTCTGCAGCATTGCTGCTCCAGCGAGCATCCCGGGCAGGGAAACCCTGCGCGCTCGGGAGCTGCCCGCTGCCAAGGATGATGTGACTGCACTACCAAGCACCCCCAAGACGGGAATCGGCACAGCAGCCAGCGGGGAGGTTCAACCCAGCGACTCCACAGGCTCAGAATTCTTTACAGACCGCTCCTGCGGACGCTTCCTGCCTTTTGAAATTGCTGCTACTGCAGTCGTGCCTGGCCTGACAAGCAGCTCATTGTACCAGAGCCTCAGAAATCTGATGGCAACAGACAAAGCACAAGCCCCCTTGGCAAGGAGACGCCGAGAGACGCTGAGCTTTGGAGACGGCTTGGACTGAGAAGCCGAGACGCTGCGCTCAGGAGGCAAAGCTAAAGATGAGCTTCTCAGAGCTGCCAATGGAGCGGCGCGTCCCGGCTCATCCCGGCGGCACGGCAGGGGAGCGGGGAGGCTGAGCAGCGATGCTGAGCACCCGGGCTGCGTCCCCACTGCAGCAGTGCCCAGCCAATCCTCGCTCCCAACGCTGCGGAGCTCCGGAGCACGGCAGCGCGCGCAGCCGGCCGGGAGCGCGCCCCGGGCCGCCCGCACGGGAGCGCGCCCGCGGGCACGGAGGGCAGCCGGGTACCCAACCCGAGCGTGGAACACACGGCCCCGAGGGAACGGGGTGGCCCGAGGGATGTGTGTACCCGCGTCTGCAGCCTCGGCTGCGGCTCTTTGTTAGGGCGGCAGATGGCTGTGCGGAGAGAAGCCGGCTTTGCCCAGCCACGGCCGCATTAACCTCCAACTGCACTCGCTCCCTGGTCTATTATAGTCTCATCCGAGCCTACAATAGCTCTTTGGTGCTGCATTGTGCTGCTTCCCTTGGCGCCCAGCGCAGCACAGCGACGCGCCCACACAGCGTTTACGACCATTCATCTGTGCAGGAGCTGCCCAGCTCTGCTAGGACCAAGGCTAGGACCAGCCAGAGCAGGACTACGAGTAGGTATCAATATACAGGCACAGATACCAATATATTCCCTGGATTTCTGCAAGAAATGCCACGTTTTCCTCTCTGCTGCCCTAGCAGCAATTGCTCCTCCACTGGTGAGGACATCGGCCTCCCACCACAAGAGTCAACCCACCCTGGAGGAACCCAGCAGCATTTTCCATCTTACTTCGTATTCCCAGGTTCTTTGCATCCACAGACAGAGGGCACTGCACGCCTCACTTCCAAACTATTATGACTTTTCCATAAGTTTGGGGGTTTTAACATGCAGGGAAATGAGTACAGATCACAGCTTCCATCACTCAGGGCTCCCTACCCACCGTAGCAAAGCAAGATCCACGGGGAGCAAAGGATGTCAGTTTTCAGCTTTTAACTTTTGAGAGTGATAGACTGCAGGACACTTCTGTTATACAGATATTAGATGTGAAATTAAGATCCAAAATCTGGAAGGTCTGCAAGCTTTAAGTAGCCAATCTGCAAATAAAGGAAAAACACTAAACATCACATTTGGCAACTTGCTAAAGTTGAATTCCTGTAATCGACCTGAGTAATGGAAAAAGTGAGAGACAAGCACATAGCAGACATCACATTAAAAAAGAATTCTTCTGCAAATACACCAGAATTACTTAGGAAGAAAAAAATGCTCTTTAATCACAAGGTCTACAAAGAGTACGCAACAAAGTTTTTTATCTTAAAACTTGACACATGCCAAAAACTAACCACATAGAAAAAAATTTTAAAAATTCAGAGGCAGTAACACTGGGAGGGGGGTGTGGGAAAAGCCCTGCCCCTCTCTGAGGAATGGCACAGTCCAGCTCTAGTTGGGATGCAGTCAGAAGCCCAGGCTCAGGCACAGGCAGAAAAGACTGAGGAATTCTTGTCATGCTTCAATTATCTTGAGCTGCTGCCAGTCATCACAACTACAAGCACAAAAGTTAAACTACTTTCTAACACGAAGTGAATCACATCCTTTAGGATGACATTTGAAAAGTTTTTAATGCTCTCAAGCCAGAAGAACAAAGCAGATTTTCTGAACTGGGCACGGTTCTTCAAAATCAGCTCCTATTAGCCTAAGGCTGTGGTTTCACAAGCAGCTGTGAGCTAATCTGAAGCTTACTGCCACTAAAACAAGTCATCTCACACATCCACATAAACCCTGCGCTTACCTTGCTCCCCTGCTCCTCTCACAACCTCATTAAACCAGCCAAAAATTACAGAGCTTTCTGCTGGGGTAACCAGTTGAGGCTACTCATGGACGGGGTCCAAAAAAGTGTGGAAAGGGCATCCAAGCTGCCTGTGGCTGCAGGCAAACTGCCCCACCATTCACAGAGCTACAAGCCATGATACAGAAGGCAAAGCACCCATGTGGGACTTGAGATTTGTCCTCTGTGGTCACTTAATACTTATGAGGTCCCATTAAACAGTTGATGTTACCTGACACTACTGAAATTACATGCCTGGGGTGCAATTATAGCAGAAACTCAGCAATGCTTCCTTGGCCTCTGTCCTCACTAAAGGAAACCTCAGAGGAATTCTGCCACCACACTAATTCACACAGCTCCTTGAGAACAGACAGACTTTTCTAATCATATTTAGGAAAAAAAATTATTTTACCAAGTGGGAAATTTTATTAGGGCAGAATAATAAACCTAGTAACAGCAGGATGATTATAGCTAGAGGCAAGACAACTGCTCTCCTACAGGGAATTTGTAGGGAATTATTACCCTACCAACACCACCACAAAGCCAATCATTCACACGAGAGAAAAGATGCAATAAATACCGTGAGTCCCGCCTGAAGGGTGACACAAATGAACATATGAGGAGCAAGAATTCACTTTTTCAAGAAATCATGAACACCTAGGCCACAGTAAAACAGCCTTCCCAACCTCAGCTTCATTAGGAGACAGCCAGCCCTCCAACTCCAGCTGTTTGCATGATCCAAACCTGGGATTTAAGGCAGAAAAGCAGGAGGGCTGATCTGAACGCTGGCTCTTGGCCAGCACACCAGTCACTGGGGACAGAAGGCGCCTGTGGCAGCTGGCCTGGGAGTCCTACACACCAAAATGGATAGTCATTAGATAGCCTGAGGAGACGCCGACAATAAAGTTCTGTAATCTACCCAAATGGAGACAAAACAGAAGGGAAAGAGCAAGAGAGTGATGTGTTTTGCTCAATTAAAACTATTTTCCTTAGTA